CAACACAAAGAATATCATTAGGAAAAGTAGTTGTTAAGCAATGCCAACCTATCCAATAGTCATCCATTCATGTTGGCGCCAACGGTGTTTGGGTTTAACAGCTGTGACGCAAGCAACGTTATTCAAGAGGCATATGAAATAGTCTCAAGATCCACTTCGAAGAAGTAACTGTTACTTCTGCATGCAAAGGTGACACTTCCAATGCTTGATCAATGCCGAGATTAAGTCGGATCCACAGTATGTGTTTTCAAAGCCATGATATTTTGGGCACCTTTTGAATAGTCTATCCTGCACTTTGATTGTACGAAATTCCAAAGTTTACCTTATTTAACTTGTGACATAAGTAAACTTCTTTGCTGTGGACGATATTTGCTGATCATTGGGTTACCCATAATCAGAGTGACTTTCTCAGAGCAAGTCAGTGCAAGCCAGGGCAATCTCAAGAGGCTAATGTAGGATTCGGCGATGCAAGCAGAGTATTTCAATCAGCGACAATTGGCACGGAAATATCTCTTGCAATCTGCTCTTGCGACTGTTACACACGCCTCAATAATCACGGTGCCTACTTCACTGCCGTTGAGCTCGAATGCAAGATAACCACCAAATCTCCATCCATGCGTGTGACTGGTCTACGCTGATTGATCAACCATGGAGTGTGGTTTGGGGCCACCACTCATGCTGCTGCCATTGCTCGGTCTGCAGGCATGTCTTTGTGCCCATCTAGGCTGCATTCTCACTTCTCCTGCGTCCCTGTTATATGACGCCAGTTTAATAGTTTGACTAAAAGGACACAAATTCGTATATCGGACACAGTGTGCTATGGTAGCCAGCGGAGCATAACTGAAGCCGCCAAGGCTCTGAAAAAATTTCACAAGACACTCCATCGCACTTGATACATTCATCGGTGCATACATAATGACAACAGCATAACACTCTCTCTAATTGTATACTAATCCAGACATTCACCAATTTCGAGGCATAGAGGAATTCACATATTTTAGTCTACTTTATGACCAAGTTGTTAGGAGAGTATGCAAGTAGAGAAGCAAACAGGGACTTTTGAAACCTACTATGTTTAAGAGGTGCTAGCACAGATTGACAGCGTAACAGAGATAGCGAGGTCTGAATAATTGGCGTCTCAAGGAGGAATCAGATTGACCACTCTGGTGATATTACGACTGCATTATCTACCTTGTGGATCCATCGCAATTCCACAGGGATGATCCATTACAAATGCACCGGTGAATGAGTCCTGTGAGATGGGTTGCATTGTGAAATTCTTTCCTAGCCATGGCCGGTTCAGTGAATCTCCGCTGGTTGCTGTAACAAAAATTGGTAGCTGTAGTGCATCAAGAACCGTCGACTGTTAACTGTTAAAATGGTCGCTACGCCGTGATCTCTAAAAGAATGCAGGGTGACCTGGATGGTGACTATGCTGTAACCAAGATATTGCCCGCACGATTGTAACCCATATTTATTGAACAGGTGAACATGCAACTCCCACGGTAACGAGTGACATTTCA